ACCCCCTCGGTGCCCAGAGGGTGCAGGTACCTGCTCGGGAGCCGTGCCGGGGAGGCACAGCACCCCTGGGTGCCTGGAGGGTGCAGGTACCTGCTCGGGAGCCGTGCCGGGGAGGCACAGCACCCCTGGGTGCTCAGAGGGTGCAGGTGCCTGTGGCTCTGAAACACGTGCTCTGGCCTTCCTGCCCTCTGGTGCTCTTGCAGGGTCCTACTCTAGCCTGAAGGAGCCTCCCCGGAGCCTGCAGGCCCCTTGGGTGGCTGACCTCTTCATTTGCCCTCAGTGGGGTGCTGGTCTCTTTAGCTTTATACCTGTTCCTGCCTTGGGCTGTGCTGATGCTGTTGCTCCCAGCAGCGATGACTGTTCTGCATGCTGTTCAGAGAGGTGATTCTCCAGTTATTCCTCCTGTCCTATAAACTTCTCGTAGGTCTTGGTGGCCGGGGAGGTAGTGACACTTGGACACTTCTCTTCAATACTGGAATTAACGGACCATGTAAATAATTTTTGGGATTTTGTCGCGGGTTATTGTTGTTGGTTCTCACTTGGTTATCCCTAAAGTAATATTGGCTACTGAGGAGGTGCGTGGGCTGTGGTTGAGGAGCCCCTGCCCTTGCCGCTGGCTGGTGATCTTGGACTAGTCCTTTGGCCCCTCTGCTTTTCCTATTTGTTAAATAGGAGGGCTTGTGCTCACCTTTTTGAAATAGTAGGAGGGCTGTGGATAGAGTGTGTATAAAAAAAAATGTGTGTAGGAATTGGGAGTGATTATATGTTATACAATGATGGAGAGGAATTAAGAAAAACGACATGAAAAGGAGCAATATTTCTGTCTGTTCATGTGCACTTACATAGGATAACCTGGGCTGTCACCTGCTTCATCAGGAAAAGGGCTTGAACAGGACAATTTATCAATGTTGTTTATTTCTCAGAGTTTTTCCTATAAAAATGACTGTAAAATTATTTTGCTTATGAGCATCCTTTCAATTTTATTCTGTGAGGTCAACATGAGAGGTCACTTGCCTGGAGGGGCAATATCTTCTCTGCATAAATCTCTGGTGTACGTAGAACTTGGTATTAATTGTTTCCGTATTTTCTCTGTTCTTGTGAATCTGAATTAGCTCCAAATGCCACATGGATCTCTATAAAGAGATGTTGCTCGTGTTAGTGGGTTCAGCCTGATTTAGCAGAATTCCTCTATTTCCCGCAATAGTTCATATGTCAGGAAAATAATTGTCTTGCAGTATGCCTCCAGTCCTTAAAGAACAAACATAATTACTATATGCTCTACAGTGGAAATTCAGCCAGACTGGATAGTTTAGTTTCAGATTTATTCTGATTGTCATAAATTATGTACTTTTTTGTGCAGATAGGCTTTCTAAGTAATCAGGGTGTTGCCCAGTGTAGCAACTAGACAGTTTATATACAACGAGATTATTGAGACATTAGAGGAGAGATACCCAGAAGTCATGTGCAGTAGTGCTGCTTCTGAGCAATTGGCTGCTGTCAAAAGGTCCGTGAAGAGTCAGGACCCTTAAAGCAGGGGGTGCCTTTACAGCTTTGGCTTTTGGTGTAATGTGGAGCCAGGTAACCCCATGACCGTTCCTGTGTTAACAGGATCTTAGTCCATTATATGATGTTGGTGTTTCTAGACAGTCCTTTGTCTCTGGTCTCTGCCTCCTGGACTATTTTCAAGCAAGGATATATTTGAAATAATGTTTTTTGATTGTGCTAGTAATACCCATGAAACTGAAGTTTCATGTAGCTAGCATCCAGATTTAGGGGGGTGTTGGCTGTTTAATCAGAGCTGAGGTTGATTACAACAGGAAGATTGGGAATGGTGAACTCTGTATTAGATTTTTTTAACTTTTTTCTCTTGATCCAAGTGCTTTAGATTTAAGTGTGGTTATCTAGGTATCATCTCCTTGCAAGAATGGAGTAGGCTGTAGAAACATCACTGAGGTGAACATCTTCCCCCTTTTGCAGAAGAGTTTTTTGATCATTTTGTGAGAAAACAGATTAGAGTGGGGTCTTTCCTGATTCCCTGGTCTAGAGCTGGTTCCTTCCATTTTTCCAAAGAATATTTTTTCCTGCTCTTTTAATTGCCTTGTGGGGGAAGAAACTGGTTTGAAGTTTCAAAAAACTGTTTGAGGATCCAAATGAGGGATCTCATCTCTGCCCTGCTTCCTGTGAAGAGTTTGTTTAACTTAGGCTGGAAGATGCTCCCAGCACCTGGATGTGTTGGTTTGCAGCAGCGTTAACTCCAACTAAGGTGAATCCTTTTACTCTCCCCACAGGAATTAGAGGTATTTCAGAAGAGACAACCACTGGAGTTCACAACCTGTACAAGATGAAGGCCAATGGGACCCTGAAAGTGCCAGCTATCAATGTTAACGACTCTGTCACCAAGGTAGTGCAGCTAGAGCCCTTCTGCTATGTTCTGCTCTCTGACCAGTTTGGTGTTGGGATGTTGTCATTCCCATGCAAGTATTCCTTCTCTTGCTGAGCTATTCCTGACCTCATACTGAACAGATTTTCACCATATCCTTGAAGTGAGCCCATGATGTCTCTAATAGGACATGCCATTGTAAATACCCTGTTTTCAGAACATCAAGGGCTTTTTTTGTATGTAAGGACATGAATTCTTCTGCATTATAATAATGTGAAAACACCTTTGGAAATCGTGGCTCCTGGGGTACAGTCAGTTCCTGTGGCAAGGGGCCTGTCCTCTCTGAGTAGCTTCGAGCCCACAGGTAGGTGGCAGGTACCAGCTGGAAAAGAGAGTGTGACCTACGTGAGCTTGTGGCTGGTGCAGGAAGCATCTCGGTTGATCTGAGAAGGTATCTCTGCGAGCGGCAGTTGCAAAGGATAGGGCAGGAGGTATTTATTCCTTGCTTAGCTATATTACTGCTTCCTGAGACAAATCCTGGTGAATTGAGGGATGAGTGGGAGTGATGTTTAAAGGGTGCTGGTGCCTTTTGGATGCAGATGAATTGTAGTGGGAATTTCAGGTGTACTTAAGGTTTATGCATCTAGATGTATTTTAAATCTAGTTGCTAAATCTTTTTCAAGTTACCATACTAACATTATCCTATTGGGCATGGCAGTTCTCACTGTTTGTTTGGCCTGCTTTCTCTGCAGTTTGCTATCTGAAGAGTATCTCCTTTCTGCTCACAAAGATGATCTGGCATTTTTATTTCATAGATAGTGGGCTGGAATCCAGTTGGTCTTGGAAGAAGCTTGTTTCTCTCTCTCTTTTCACCTAGATTGTGCCTCCTGCGTAATAACTATTAATACTGTTTAGTAGATTCAGAAATTCAGATGTTTCTAAAAAAGCCTCTTGAGTGGATTTGCGTTGAGCTTACTTTATTCTAGGGCCAAACAATTGCTTATTTTCAAGTACTATTTGGTATTTATGTAGTAAAAGATTTGTACTAACCACAGTTACAGATCTCCAGGAAGACATGCAACCGAGCTGACAAATTCTGCTCTCCCAGTTTGATGTTTTCGCTTGGTGCCAGGTTCCTATGCTAGTATTTGGAGAGAGAAGGCAGGCAGCATCCAGCTCTGTTCTTCCCTCCTGCCACTCAAATGTATTTTTGGGTGGGACAGATGTCTGCATCTGGCACTCTGCTACCTTGCCTGCACAGGCACCTGGAAGGCTTTGATTGCAGTTGGGGGATTTGGTGATCAAATGTGACCATGCTGTTTTCCTCCATAAAAAGGCTTATACTGCAAGGAAAATCTGCTGGAGGACTAGAAAAGAGGATTACCAACTGGCACTAGCTTTGGAATTTGAAGGATTGGTAACACAAATTTTCTGAAATATTAATAGCTAATGTACCTGTAATAAGATTTACAGGCACTGAGTCAGGAACTTCTGTATCTGAAGTGTAACTTCTTACACATTAGACCTTGGCCAGCTTCTGAGGCTGGGAGCGATATGCCACTATACCTCATAACTTGCTCAGATAATGCATTGGAGTCACAGCTGCAACATTTTTGTATGTGGACTTTACATTTCTTATTATAAAAATTTTGTAGTTGTAAGCTGTAGACTGAAAACCAAACTGTAACATCATCTTACATGTGTTAGATGGGCACCAGCCACAGCTGCAAGGTAGGTCCCATTTGAAAGATCAGTGCCCCTATTCGCATCTAGGTATGCAGTCTTAAGATTGCTTATAGCAGAGTGCTACCTGTGTTAAGTGAAAGCAAGAATGATTGGTGACCTAAAGCTGTAGAAAGCACAGGGCAGGCTTTGAGACCAGAATTTTGCTGTGAATGGCAAGTTCTTTATACCCCTGCCTTGGGAAGCGTAGCATAACTTTGGTGGCCAGATTTTTAAAAAATTCTTGGCTTCTGTAACTCTTCAGATAATCAAATCTGTTTATATACCCCATCCTCCTGGTCAAAACAAAGGGTTCAAGGAGAAAAAGGAGGAGCATTACAAAAACCAGTACAGCAGTATGTGTTTCTGAGTTTAGGAAGATGGTCAAGTGGAGTACTATTTGACATCTGACGTAGCAGGGGAATTTTGATTTGGAGGTCTGGCTGTTAAGCTGATGTGTTAGTGTTACAGTAGGAGGATGTTGTGCGATGGGGCATTAGGAGATGAAATCCAGGGGTTCTTGGTTGCAGTGACCGGTATGGTGAATGGCTACTTGGTGGATTTTTCTAGATCTGAGCAGTGGTGAGATCTGGTAGTATTAGTGTAACTGTTCCCGGCGGAAGATGCAATTTTGATCTTCCTGGGCTGCAGGAACCAATTTTTCATGGTTGATGTGGGCAACTTGCTGCTTCTGCAGGGTGCATGTGTCTTGCAAAGATAAGAATGTGTGCTAACCAATTGGCCAGATATTCTGCTGGTGCTTTTTGCCTACCTGTGGCACTTGGTTCAGTTCATTGTTAACAGCAGCAGAGAACTGGTGAACATCTGGTTAAGGAACTCAGACCTACCTCTGTACGCAAGAATTTTGTGCTTTTACTTGATATATTCAGGTTACCTCTAACAAGTTTTTAACATGTCCAAGCCCTAGTCAGTAGACGCAAGATATTTATGAAATGCTTCTCAGCAGGGGTGTGCTGAATCCTCTATCTGGTATAACTATATAGATTGAAACTGGATAAATAAAAACATCAAACCAGGTTATCTTCTTCCCATTCCTCACTGTGATTAAAGTATTTAGCTGACTGTCAGCCTCCTGGTTTGTAGTACTTGCATATAAGGCCATTTTGTTTCTCTAAGGAATTTTTACTTGAGTCACTTTTGTTTGTTCTGAAACTGCTCCTTTTTCTTCCTCAGAGCAAGTTTGATAACCTTTATGGTTGCAGAGAGTCCCTCATCGATGGCATCAAACGTGCTACAGATGTCATGATTGCTGGAAAAGTAGCAGTCGTGGCAGGTTACGGTGATGTGGGTAAAGGCTGTGCTCAGGCCCTGCGGAGCTTTGGAGCCAGAGTTATCATCACTGAAATCGATCCCATCAACGCACTGCAGGCAGCCATGGAAGGTGAGAACTGAAGGAGATGCAGAAATTAATGCATCTGACGGGGATCTCTGCATGTCAGTGTAGAGCAATAAGTGATAGTTGGCCAAGAAAGTTTCAGTGGGTTTCAGCCCTGTCCCTGTTGAGGTAGAGGTGTCTCTGTTTAACTGTAGGAATTCTTTCCTTACAGTTAGGGACAGAGTTCATTAGTATAGGCCTTGAAGATGTGTTTGGAGTCAAGGATATAGAGACTATAGTGGGGTAAGGCCCCATTTTATAACACCTGGTTTTGAATGGGTTCCTTATCCTCCAGTTGTGCAACTCTTAACCTCCAGTGTGGGTTAAGACTTCACTAGGATATCTCCACAGTAAAACACCAGGCTTTACCTTCAGCAGATGTTTTTTGAGAGCAACGCTATGCTCTCTGCCTTTCCAGCTGTGCCCACGGCATGCTCTGGAAGCTGTGCTTCTCTTCTGTGGGTGCCTCATGTAACTCTTAGTACCAGTTTATCCCATTTCTGTTCATACCTGACTAGAACCTGCAGGTGTTGTGGGTGCACTTCCCTTTGCAACCTTGACCCCGTGAATCCAGTCCGAGTGCTGTGCTGGCTACTGCACCTATGGACATAAGACATTGAATGTATAGATCTACAGATTGGAAACAGGTGAAGGATAGATATTTTTGTGCTATGTTGGTATTTAGTAGGACAAGTATGCCCACTACCTTGCATCCTCCATAGGTCAGGTGTTGGCACAGACTTCTCTTACTCGTTCCTTCTCTGTACTTTTTGACTTGTAATACTGTAGCCCATTTTTAAATAAGTGCTGGTGGTTGGGTAGGGGAGTAACTCTTTCTCTTTTCAGGTTATGAAGTTACAACCATGGAGGAGGCCTGCAAAGAAGGCAATATCTTTGTTACCACCACCGGCTGCACTGACATTGTTCAGGGCAGGTATGGTCTAGCCACTTGCTTTAGTGAAAGCATACCTGTACAGTTAGATTTTGTAAATACAGTCATAACTTGTCAACAATGTGGTGAGGGCTAGCACACAGTCTCATTTCTGGACATCAGAATTTAGCATCAGTTTAATGAGAAATCAGGGCTTTGGTTTGTCACTTCTGCTGGATGTTGCCGCATTGCAATTGTTCCTGTCTTACAGCATGTAACGATGGAGAAACAAAAGGTGTAGAGGGATAGATAGACTTCTGGAGAATGAGAGCATCAGGGCTAAATTCTGTGTTAGGACAGATAAATGTGAACAGAAGAGGTGGGGGGATAAGGGATGGAGGGGGTCCATCTGTGAGTAGACATAGCAGACTCGAAACTAGCCTGTTCTCCATAAACTACCCTGCAGTTTTTTGTTATTGCTTGTTAGATCTCAATTATAGCCCCTCCACTCTACACAAACTCATTCCTATTTTTGCTGTTATGATGGTACATGTTGTAGTGGAAGATCAGATTAAGTGGGAGGAGATAAGGTCGTTAGTGTACAGAGATGTAAAACTGGTGGAAACTTTAAAGTCATGATGAAAATTATTTCTTCTGTGCAGGAAAGAATAACTGCAGATATTTCAGTTTTGACCAATTAAACAAAATAGTTTTACTTTCCCTACTGGGACAACATTTTCTCTCCAGTAACCTCTTATATCCTTGGGAGGTATCCTTCCCTAGAAGCTTGAGAGTTTTTTCCAGTAGACTTCACATGCCTGGAAGATTACCAGACCCATGCATCTTGTGAGAGTCAAATGGAGTCAGTGAGCCAGGCACTTTTCATTTCTCCTTGAGCAGAGCTATGGACCAGAGCATCTCTTCTGGTGCTGAAGAAAATATTTTTTTGTGCATTCACTTTTGATAGGACTTTTTCTTTTGCAGGCACTTTGAGCAGATGAAGGATGATGCGATAGTGTGTAATATTGGCCATTTTGATGTGGAAGTTGATGCAAAGTGGCTGAATGAAAATGCAGTAGAAGCAGTGAATGTCAAACCTCAGGTAAGACAGCCCTTGCACAAGCTCTCCTGCTAGAAAGAAGCAATAGCTACTCAGTGTTTCTTTCCAGAAAGGGGGGGGTGTTTCTCTTCAGGTACTTTCTGTTTCTAGCTTTCTTGGAAGCCAGTGTTGCTCTGGGCTGATCAGAATGGAGATTCTGCTCTTCCCCGATTAACCTGGAGCAAGCTGCATGTCATATTCTTTTGTTGGTATTAAAGCAATTGGTTCCAGCCAGTGCCCAAGTGTACAGTGTGGTCTCTGTTGAGAGGTGCCTGGTACGGATACATCTTTCTCCATGTGTTCCTACTTCCATGACAAACAGGAGCCTACCTCTTGGTGGTGGTTGTGTAGACAATTAATGGCATCAAGTTCATTCCATACAGAAGTCAGCTTTGATGTTTGGAGTATGGTGAGGAGGTATGGAAATGTGCTTTCTTTGATAGCTGCTAGCTGAAATCAATGCCATAACTCAGTTTCAAAAAGCAAGTTAAGTGATGAATACAGAACAGACCATTAGAGACCATATAAAACTTAAGAACAAAGCCCATAGATTGCCTGGTGGCCGATCTGAATTTTCTCTCAGGAAGCTCCTTGCTCATGCACTGCTCTGCACCAGAACAATCTTGGTCCTGGTGCAGGGTGCCAGGATTAGAGTGGATCTCAAGGGAATGTCTTCTGGGATTCTGTTAAGGCTTGAAAAAATTCACACCTCTTTCTTTTCAAAGCATTTTTTTACTTGGAGATTGAAGCCTCAGGAAAGCCTATCTGGAGCTCTGCCAAACTCAGACTTCTATTCCAGGCTTAGTGGCTTCATTTTAGAAACCTGTGTAGACCAGAAGTCTATGTGTGGGCAGACAAGGCGAGATGTTTTATCCTTGCTCAGCTTGCATTCCCACCATGTATTTACTTCAAGCTGTGGCTGTAGCTACACAGGAAAATAGGGATCTAAAAATTTCAGCTTTTCAGCTGTGTGTCCTAAAGCAGAGAAACTAAACTAAACCAAAACTGTTTTGTAACACTAGCATTGAGGGAGAAGATTACATAAAGCAAACGAGGCTGTCTGACTTGGCATGGGACTTGTAGTTACCTTTTAAAGAGGGAGTGTGCTTGCTGATAGCAGGATTCTGGGACAGGTTTTCTATTTTTTTAAAAACACCACACCCAAGCATATGTCTTAATAGATCTCAATCTGCCCTTCCAGTTTTCATAACTCCCCTGTGGCTGATTGGCCACCCACATCAAACTCTTACTAGGCAGTTGTGAGAGTCTTTTCAGTATCCTGTTTGCTGTTGGGACACTCTACTTGGGCTCAGCTAGGTAAGAAGTTATACCCTCAAGTTCTCGCTACGTTCAAGTCTGTTCTTGCCCATGACCTTAACGTGGAGCTGACTTTGCTCAACAGCTCTTGTCCTAGAGGAGCCTGCAGCTAGCTGCTTGCTTTCTGGTAGCTCAAGTTTTAAAATTAAAACTGGGACGGCTCAAAAAATAAATCTTGTTGAAGCCTAAATTGGATGTTAATATGGTAACGTACAAACTACCTGCACATGGCCATTCAATGTGGCTCTTGTCCATATGAAAAATTGTGTCACTGTTGGCAGAGGTAGTAGTCACTTTTTCTTTATATACTCTGTATTGCAGGAGCCAGTCGTCACAGATGTATTAGGTACGATGAGATGCAGTCTAGTCCAAGGTGTGAAAACTGTAACAAGTTTCTGGTTAAAAACAGAATATTACCTTTTCAAAAGGATGGAATTAGGGTCAAGGTCGTCCATATAGTTTAATGCTGAAGACTTACATCCTACCCTGAATCTCTCTGGTCTGTTAATAAACCGCAGCTGTCGCAAGCAGGATGTTCAGAGTGATGCAGAGGAGATACCTGCTCACAGAGCAAAAGCTGTGAAAATAGCCACCCAGCATTCTGTGGGTGCCACAAGTGTTTGCTTAAAAGTCATTAGCTAAAGTTTGTAAAAGGTGTCTCTGACTGACCTGAGCAGACCACCTTTGTCTCAGCTTGATGCACAGATAGCTGAAGCTGAGAGGATTTTCTGGGGGAAATAGCACTTTACCCTTGGGCTGTTCTTGTACTTTTCTTTGCCCATCTACTGGTTACCACTGGAGATGGGATGTACCTAGAGGTAAATCTGATCTTATGTGGCAATTCCACATGTTTGAAACTTTACTGAAGTGTGGATGGCCTATAGATGTGTACATTGCCAAGCCCAATAAAAGCTGGTCCCTGACTCAGGTTAGTACTTGGATTTTGTTGACTTCTAGCAGTGAATCTGAAACACTGTTAACTAGTTTGAATCTCCAGTTGGACTCTATTATTGATGTATTTAATCCTATATGTAGCTACACTGTGCTAGTGGTATACCCCTATGCTCCATTTTGTGTCTGTTTAGATTTCTTGTCCCTAAAGACTTTAGACCTGCATGACAAGGTAAGGACGTACCTGCTGAGTAGGTGTTACATGAACAAGTTCTGTGTAAAAGCTTCATTATTCTTCGTTTTCATTCTTTACGCCTGATTGCCATGGTGGCTGGGCAGTTGAGCAGGAGTGGACCAATACACATCCTAAAAGCTTACTCATTTCAAAAGGGGGAGAGGCAGGACTAGGAGGCAAAATGTGACTTTAGAGCCCCAAATTCCATGCTTAAAACAAATTAAAAGGCATTGAGTAGAAATTTGCTGCAACTACTTGACTCTTCCAGGACATGCGTTAACTTTAGGTTTAGAAACAAGCTCCCAGTAGGTATCCTGCAGCTTCTGTCCCTCACCACCTGCATGGGAATTCATCTGCATGTGTTGGGACCTTTCTCAGGGCAGCAGCGATGAGTCATTACTGTAATTGATAGAATTGTTCTTACACTGAAATCTGGGAAGGAAGTTATCAGTTTGCCACTTAGGCCATTGCTGGTTTCTCAATTTTGTTGCTCAGATTCATCAAAAGGATACTTCTGTGGTCGTCTTGTCCTCAGTCTTTCAGGGGCCTCAAGGGGAGGTCAGTCCCATGTTAAAGGTGTGACACTTTGCACTTAGCCTTAGAATAAGATATATTTTTTCACATCAGTGTTCTGGGTGAGGTATCGTATGTTTTATAATACCAGGTACTAACTCTCTAAATAGTCAAATTTTTACTAAGACCTGGCAGCTTTTTTCTATATCCTGTAGCAAGGAGTGGAATATAGTACAAGAGCAAAAATCACTAACCTCCTGTGAAGACATCTGTCTCTTGATCAGAGGATTAATACCAGAGCTGAGAGTTGCTGGACTTCAGCTAGAGGTACAGAGTAATTGTGAAAGTGTCCAACATGGTAGTTTTCAGTACGATATGGTCTCCATTCACAAGTGGTGAGCTGGTGTAAGAAATGTTTAGTACTTATTGTGCCATTCTGACTCATCTGTTGCTTTCAAGTTAAGGGGGAAATAGGCTTATTGCTGAAAAACTGGCAGGTTGTTTTGAATATGGGTTTGCACTGCAATCCTCCTCAGCTGTGTTCTGGTATTAGAGACTGATATGTAGCACAAGCTCAACTCTAGAGGGGAAGGAAAGGTCAGGGTGGGATCAATGAACTTTGGCTCTGAAAATAAATTATTCACATATGGTGTGGAGGGAAGTGTGAAGCAGCCAGAAAGTCTGGAGCAAGCTAGTTGCTGATGGGGAAAGGGAGGAGGTATTTGTGTAATGTTGGAGGTGAACATAATGCTTGGATAACTTTAATTCTACTTCTGTAGCAATTTCTTGAGCTTATGAATCAGCCTGTTTATCTGCCCGTTGATGAGATGTGTTTCCGCAGTACTGACTTAAGCCTCTGCTGGTACCACTACTATTTTGTATTTATTTCTGTGCAAAGACATTAATTGGCATTTTCTGCGTTACCCTGTGCATTGAACGAGTCATGTCAGCAGTTTGCCGAAGGTATGTGATTCCATGCACAAGCCAGCAGCTGTCCAGGTGCAAGTTGTGTGGATATAATATTTTGACACCTAAACCACCTGATTCAGACTTCAAAACTGAAGTGCTACTTAACTGCTACCTTGTAGTAGTTTAATCTGTGAATACAATGTTTAATATAAGTAATATTGTAGTTGTTCTCAGGGTTTTTAGTGTTCTGCTTTCTAGCTGCTTCCTTCTTTGTTGCATTACTTCCTCCCATAATCTTACGATAGCCCATATGGTATTTTTTGGGTGGACTGTCACCAATGGAGAATCAGCATCCGTAAGAAGTATTGCAACTGCTCAGTGGAGAGCATTCTTACTAACCCTACCTTGCTGTACTGCTCTTGGACAGGAAAAATTAAGAATGTTACTTAGGGCTTCTGTTTGAGGTGGTTACTTCTACATATGTTGTGCTGAAAACATAATAGTCTGTTATATGAACCCAAGAAGTAGAAAATAGTGCTGCGATTGAAGCACAGCTGGGGAAGACAGCTGGAGGCACAGACCTGCTCTGCAGGCAGAGTATCTGTTCTAATAAAATGGTTTCTATTGGTTTACTTGTTACAGCTCTGCTAAGGACCTGCACAGATGTTTTTTCAGAAGATGATATTGTTACAATAAAAACTTCATCCCACATGGCTTTTAACTTACAGGCCAAAGCTTTAAGAATAAAACTGAAAGTGATGTGTGTTTTGCTTCATATTGAATAACTTTTGAGACTAAGTATAAATACAGCTGTGGGGAGGGACCCTTTTAGGTCTTTCACAGTTGCTGTGCTATGACAGCATAAGATAAATGGACTTGTCTAAAGCATTAACCTTTAGTCAAAGTTGGTCTTTTAAGTTTTTCTAAAGGTTTGCTCTACTCCCATGTGCTTGGCGTGACATGAGCAATAAATACCAGTGAATACTGAACATTCTTGTAACTTATAGGCCATATTGGCATTTCATTCTGGGCTTTAATATTGTAATCTCCTACAGGGGTGAAGGCAGGGGAGAGAAGAGCTAGTGACTGGTAGAAAGGAGAAGCAGAGTTAACTTTAACATTGCAGAAGCCCAATCTGGCTGAGACAGTTAAGGCACGTGTTAAGTGACATTATCTTCTGAATTGTGTGGGACTCTCTCATATAGCTGAAGACCCGACTCCTTAGCCCATCTGAGACTTGATTCTGTGTGCAGAGTCCTGTTGTCCCTAGCATAGCTTGGAAGTCAGTCTGAGTGGAGGACCATGTCTTTGGCCCCTTGAGAGCAAAAGAGGGTACACCAGAAGCTGGGACAGCTGTTAATTATACTGTACAGCATTGGCCTTATGGAAGTGGGAAGAGTTACAGGGAAGCAGTTTCAGCAGGCAGAGGACTCTGGCTCCTACCCCTGTGTTAGATGCAAAGGCTCTGCACTGTTGCATGCAGAGGTGTTCCCTCCTCTCTCCACACCAGTTGTTACAATTAGGCATACATGAACTGCATTTTACTGCTAGCAGCATGCTCCCCACCACAGCTGTCTGACACAACATGCATGTGGAAAAACCAGAAGAACTGGATAACTGGTTAAATATGAAGCAGATGCTAAGATTCATGTTGTGTGAAGTCCAGAGTAGCTACAGGCTTCACAAACATGGTCTGGGAATTGAGGGAGGGGGCTCTCAATTGCAACACAGACTTTGATTACAAGCTCACTGCTGAATTGTTGATGTGGGAAGAAAGCCCACCAAGCTTTGCATGATTTAAAAAGCTCTCTTTACCCTGACATCACACTGCTCTTGCTTTTTTCCCACCTAGGTGGATCGCTATACGCTGAGGAATGGCCGTCATATTATACTGCTAGCGGAGGGCAGACTGGTCAACTTGGGCTGTGCCATGGGTCACCCTAGCTTTGTCATGAGCAATTCCTTCACCAACCAGGTGCTGGCACAGATCGAGCTGTGGACCAATAGTGACAAATACTCTGTCGGAGTCCATTTCCTGCCAAAGAAGGTGAGTTAGAATAGCAGAAAGATGCAAGTTTGTAAGGAAGCTAACTTCAGATGTGGTCACAAACATTTGTTTCATTTGTGCTAGAGTTCATTTTCCTACTGAATAGTGTTGTTGCAAGGAGCTTCTGTCCCTCAGTGAATGCATGGCTTTGGTCATGCCGAGTCTGAAGTGGGCTGTCTTCTGTGGCTAACCTGTTGTGCAGAACTGGGACTTGTCTGTCACATGCAATAGGAACATCCAGTCACTTTTTGGCTTGACCTGGGGCTCTTCCATAATGTGCTCGGAAGCCCTGTGCTGTCTCAGGGTAGTCAGGGAGCTTCTCCCAACCAACTTGTTCCTTCTGCTGAATGTTGGCATTCACAGCAAGCTTTCACATGCCTATCCAGCAGCAAAGCCTAGTGGGGCAGAGTTGAAGCTGGAGTGAAACTAGGAATTGCTTTTACTCTGGTTGGTAGAGTCTGGGTCCCATCTGCACCTGAGCAGAGCTTATCACAATCTGGTCCTAATAGCTTCACAAAATATTAATGACAGATTCCCTTGGATTTCCCTTTAAACTTATCTCTGCATTCTTTGTTCTTGGAAAAATCTGGATCATATCACAACTCAGAAATGCCTTTTATAAAACTAACATGGTTTTAATTTTCCAAAACAAGCCTGAGAATTTGAGGTGGTAATTGAAAAAGATGCTGCAGTTAAATCCCACTGCCTTTGGAATGCAGCCTGGCATGAGGCTAAATGTGAAAATACTTTTCATTTGGGAGGTAAAATGTGTGTGTTTGGGTTTACTTATGAAGTGTTTGCTGAAGACTTAAGCTTCCAGAACTATCCGTTAATGATCAAACAAAGCATACCAGAAATACAGTGTAGGAGTTGATCAGCAAGCTGACACTTACCATCTTCAAAGGAAAATTTTCTTGACAGTTCTCTCAAAAATGATAGTCCAATGTGGCTAATAAAATGTGGCTTCATCCTCTTCCTGAATAACAATTTTTAGTAAGCATACTTGAACTGGAAATGAGAAGTAATGCCCAGATCTGTTACTTAAAGTTGCATGTTAGTGGAGCATATGGCAGTGATCTTTTCAGGTTTGTATACTGTGACAAAATGCTCTTTTTACCCTCTGCGCTCCGTAGAGAATTTTAAAGAGTAAAGCAGTTGCCTTGTCAGAACCAACAAAAGGCGGGCAGAAGAGCTTTCTCTGATAATTTTCTGGCTAGTATATTTCCTTGTTCTGTGTAGTAGCTTTGAGGTCCAAATGTAAAATTTAAGAATTACCAAGTACCTTACATTGCGCTTTTTTTGACTGCAAGAATATCGCTTTGATGATCAGCTATTACAAACATGCACACTTTCTGCAATGTGTGTTCCTGGAAATCTAGGCACACTGTTGTGTCCATGTTCTTGGCACTAAATCTGTTCGTCCTTATGCTCAGCTATCTGATTTTAAGGTAAAAATGTCAGCTTACCTTCATCTAAATTTGTGTACCTTTTTATCTAAATTTTGAAGTCCCCAAGCTGAAGCAGCTGTGAAACAACTTATCTCTGCTGCAGTTTGAGAACCTGATCTGGGAGATGTCAGGGACTCAGCTCCTTTTCAGGCGGGTGTAATCTGTCTTAAACTTGCTGGAAATGCACCAATCAGGTCTTTGCGTGTCAGTCTAATCAACTAGCTATGCATTAAATTTTTAATCCTTTTTTTTTTTCTGGCAGGATCTACTAAGCTTAAATACTTGTTTCCCTTCTAAACAGAGTCCTTCCAGTTAGCATTTTTCTTTCATGATTTTCCTGACTCTTACGTCGTGTTCGGTAGCTTTCATGGTTCGCTTCCACATTCTTCAACCACTTCATCTTATGTTTTTTTAATTTTGTCTTTTGTCAACCACCTTTGGCTGTGTTGGTTCTCAAGAGATGTTGGCAGTTCCATGTTCTCAAGAGATGTTGGCAGTTCTACTATGAGCAGGTTGAGCTGCAGTGAATTATACTCTGTACAGTTGTAGCTTTTTACCTGGTTCATTGCAATGGGATTACTTCAGAGTAGTTGCTTGTTACCACACTCTCTTTGAACGGGAAATTTAGGACTAGTTATTGAATCATTTAGGACATGCTGGTTCACACAAGCTGAAGATCTGGCCCTTGATTGTTTTGTTGATTTATTGCCCTTCAAATATATTGCAACCTTTCACATCTGTTTAACTAGTATGGGGGTGCTGCTGGAATTTAGACTTACCTTTTATCTGTTTCCTTAGCAATGATTACTTGTATTTTGCAGAAATTACAAACAGTGGTCAAACTTGTCCTTCTGTTGTAACTCAGTAGCACCTGATCCCTTCTTAGTGCTGTCCTTTCTATCTTTGAATACCCTTTATGGCTGTCCATTCTCCTCTGATGTAGCAGCTGGTTTGCCATTTTACTGTTTGTTTTCTGACTCTTCTGTACCTATCTCCTGTAGCACTTAACTGTCTTGTAACTTTACACATTTTTCAATCCCTTGAGTTTGCATGTCTGCCTGATACCTCTGGGATAAAAATAGTATATCAACATTTCCATCTGAAGGTAGTTTTGTGCTCAGAGCAGATGCCTCTGCACTCAAGCAGGTGAGGTGTGTTGGCAGGAAAAGAGCTGTCTGACTGTTCATCTGTGTCAGTCTGTTAAGTCCTCCTTGGAGCTGCTATTGGTTTTCATGTATTCATTTCTCACTGTTGACCATGACTTCCTGAACTACTAGGACTCTGTTATGCTGATATTCTTTCTTGTCTCATTGTTTTGTTTTCCAGCTGGATGAAGCTGTGGCTGCTGCTCATCTGGAGAAGCTGTGTGTGAAGCTGACGAAGCTGAGTGACAAGCAGGCCAAATACCTAGGTTTATCAAGAGATGGGCCATTCAAGCCAGACCACTACAGATACTGAGCAGGTGGCACTACCCAAAGAACAAAGTGCAGGGATACAACCTTCCAAAGCTCTTGTGTGTGCTGGGCTTCTGAGAACAAGCCCTTTGCTGTACTCCTCTCAGTGCTGCAGAACCCCTCCCCTTACCAAGGGAGCTTCAGGGCCTCATTGTTAGTGAAAGAGGATCACTCTGACTCTTGGAATTAGAATTGGTTACTGAGGTAATGTCATGGTGAAAAGGATCCTATGTACCTTTTATTAGCTCCTAATGTCCCAATAAGGGGAGCAGAACAGAAGATTGCTAAATTAAAATGCATAATCCTGTCAAACATGTGGCTGACCAGCCTCTTTGAACAGGCTAACCAATAAGATGGAGAACGGTTTCTACAGGGAGATGCTTTCTGCTGTGCCCTGCTCAAATTAGATGAATCCTGTTAGGAGGCTGGCAGTGTCAGGCTTCTCTCCACAAAGGTGCCCTACCTGAAGTGCATGTTGTGAAACTGGAGGAAGTAGGGAGGAGTATAGGTTGCTTGGTCTCCTTCCTATATAATCAACTTAATCTCCTACTCCGAGATTAGAGCTGGAGTTTTTTTCTGGGTTAATTTACTCCATCAGTTTTGGTCAGAACAAAGACCCTTCTATGCTTCTTCCATACCAACTCGAGGAGGGGTGAGGCAAGAGTGTCGTGAACGGCTGAGAAGCCACTGAGGGGATGGTTAGGTTTAGGGACCTTGTTTGATCCTCTGAAAGCACCAGCAGCACACTTCTACCCCCAACTTGATTTTTCTGAGTTGTCATGTCTGCTGTATCATTTTTGTCACTGACTCAAAGTGCTTTTATTAAAGATCTGACTGTGGCCTGACTTGTGTTTTGTATAGTGAGATGCTTTGGGTTTTGCATGGATTTGTCTACTTTTGTGTGATCCTTAAGCTACTGAAAATAGTTAATGTATCCACGTGGGGTTTCCTCAAGGCAAAAGCCAGTGCTGTGGCTAGTCTGCATCATATACTTGAGCTGGGAAAAGCTGCTCCTCAGGTTATTTAAATATTTGAAAGGCTGAATCTTACAGGAAAAACACTCTTCCCGTCAGCCCACACAGATTTATCTCCATATATGTCATGGAAGTCCTCTCTTGCCATGGTCCTCTTCAGTCAACGTTATACAGCAGGCCACCTCTGTTTCTGGGTGTAAGAAGAAAGGTTTGGTATGGTGTTAAAACATGCTTGAAGAGCTCTGAGATTCATGTCCAAGCACCAGGTGTGATGTCAGTGAGCAATTAACAAATGGTATAGAGTATGAACTGTTGGAGGAGGAAAAAAGGGGGATGAGTAAACAAGGTGTTGCTCAGTATGCAACTCTTTTTAATTGCTTTGTTTTGCATTGACCTCTAAAAAGCACCAATTTTAACTGAATTTGGGTCCCATGAATCCCAAAGGGGATTATCCTTTAAACTTACATATATACACTAAGCTCTACACAGACACATGCACTGTTGCAGTAAACATCTAAATGTAGGTGATGGTCACCTTGTGTCATACATAGCTGCATGTGGCAGAGAATAATGATGATAGAAAATGTCATTGTAGTAGAACAAATGCAATAGAAAAACAAGGACTGGGTGTTGTCTGTCTTGTTCTTCATTAGTTTCCTCTAGCTGGGCTTTGGCTTCTCTAAACCCAGTTCTCAGCTGAACGTCTGCTATCCTGAAGTACAGGGTTGTAACTCTGCTGTGAGACTTGGATCATGGATACATAGAATAACTTAATTAGGAAGGGCCACCTGGAGGTCTCTGGTTCATCCCTGTTGTCATACCAGGGCCAATTAGATCATGTTGGAGATCAGCTTGCCCAGGTGAGTTTCAGTTGTCTCTGGGGACAGAGATCAAGTAACCTCCTTGGGCTTGTCTCCCAATACTTGACCACCCTCTAGATGAAAATATTTTTCTGTACATTTAACTGGAATTTCCTGTGTTGCAGCCTATGCTCATTGCTTCTCATTTTATCCCTCTGCACCTCTGAGAAGGGTCTAGCTCCATCTTCACTACATGCTTGCATTAGGTAGTCATAGGCAGCAATAAATCCCCCTTCACCTTCTCCAGGTTGAATAAACCCACATCTTAGTCTCTTTGTGTGTCCTATGCTTCAGTCCCATGATCATCTTGGTGGCCCTCTGTACTCAGATGGATGTTCTCAGGTATGTCAATGTTGTCATTATACTGGGGAGCCAAAACTGGATGCAGGTGTCTTTAAAGTGCCAAAGAGGAGAAGGATCCCTCCTCTTGACCTGCTGGCTCTGCTTTTGTTGGTACAGCTCTGGATATAGTTTGGCTGCTTTACTGCATGGGCAGTCAAGGACCTTACACTTCACAGTCTCTGGAGGAAAGACTGCCTTCACCTTTCCATCTTTGATCAGTTTTGTTTGGGTTTTTTTGAGTAACAGATCCAGCAGAGCATCTCCCTTGGTTGGCTCATTGACCACCTGTGTCAAGAAATTGGCCTTGATGGTCTCCGTAAATCTGGATTGCTTGTGCACAAACCTGCTGCCCTTCCAGCAGATGCCAGAGTGACTGAGATGAAATCTGCCAGGGTTTGCTATCAAGAGGCTTTTTCCAGCTGTCTAAAGAAATTTTCAGCTACCTCCTATTCTGGTCTTTGTGGTCTTTGTCAGATGCCACCACAGACCACCTGAGTTGGTCTGTCCTCTGATACTTAACCCAGAAACTTGACTCAATTCTCAAAGAATTGCAGTCTCACAGAAGTTAAAGATGAAAGGGCTAGCTGACACCCTGAATTTGTCTAAGTACATATTCCATTGGGTGATCAATGTACAGTGTGTTATGATAGCAGTGTGCTTTTTTGTTTGAAATGGTTTTTTGGGGGGAAGATTTGTTAAGAATGTTTTAGCGTGGGGCCTAGCTACCAGTGGTTCTGTGTTAATGATGCTTTGTTGTCGTTTTGTATGTTGGGTAGTGGGTCAGGACCTTTTCCCTCCCCCCCCATTTCTGTTTTTGTTCATTACAGATTGTTTGCAGAATTCATGTATTTAATATGGAGAAAAATCTATTTGTGTGTGTATATACATATATATGTTTAGTTTTCCTCAGAAGACTTGAGATCTTGTGTTTCCTGGTTATTGCAGCTCTTAGGAAGTCTGGTAGACATTAGGCTCAGGGGCAGCAGCTCCTGAGTTTCCAAAAATATTTCTAGTGAGAGATTCTGTGTGCAAACTGTGCCTGGAGAGCCCAATACAAATTCATGTTGTTTAGCCCCTCTTCAAACTCCAGAGGCTTTAAGTACATGAAATCACGATTCTGTAGATGAGTCAGGGAAGTGTCCAGGCACCAGCAGCTTGACCAGGTCTGAAACATCTCGTCTGCTTTGCAAGGCCAGGGCACTAAAGCATCACTGCGAGAAGGAAGGGAACTGTCTAGTGACTTCCTAGCACAGCATTTGCATTGATCAAACTTATGAAAATCTGATTTGCTGCCGAAAATATAGTAGTTTGAGCAAGCTAACAATGTGGTAATTTGACTTGAAACATGGTCTGAGTTGATAAAATACAAAATTTATATTTGGAATATATTCTGCTAGATCTTCTATTTTACTGGTTGAAGAGGACTAGATCAAACACATATTATTGGCAGAATTTCTGTTTCTCCCTCCCACTCCCTGCAGTGCAATTGTGGTTTAGTGCTGCCTGCAGAAGAAATGCTATGCCCGGTACCTGTCAACAGTATGGTTTGTGAATTAGCAGCGTTAATGCAAGAGGGCGTTTGATATTTTTGTTCAGCTCTTATTGTGCACTGTGTAGCCATTGTTCGGGTACAGCTCAGCAGCCTCTCTTCCTAAACGGGGCCATCTTACCTCTTGCTGTGGCATGAGCTATACTTTGGCCAAACTAATGTGTTGTTTCAGTTTGAACTCTTCCTCAAGGGCAATTTTGAATAACCTTTACAGTAAAATATGCAGATTTCACTTCTGTTTCAGAAGCTTTCCAGAATGGATGGAAGACCTTGAAACATGACCTTTGTAGCAGCTAATTTCCTTTAAAAAAATGTATATTATTGTCTCATGTCCTGACTCCCTGCTAGTTTCTCAACAGGTGTCCGATCTGTATTGAAGGAAAAGCGTGCCCAGGTGGCCAAGAAGGCCAACGCCATCCTGGCCTGTATCAGAACTAGTGTGGCCAGCAGGAGGAGGGAGGTGATCGTGCCCCTGTACTCGGCCCTGGTGAGGCCGCACCTCGAATCCTCTGTTCAGTTTTGGGCCCCTCACTCCAAGAAGGACATTGAGGTGCTGGAGCGTGTCCAGAGAAGGGCAACGAAGCTGGTGAAGGGCCTGGAGCACAAGTCTGATGAGGAGCGGCTGAGGGAACTGGGGCTGTTTAGCCTGGAGAAGAGGAGGCTGAGGGGAGACCTCATCGCGCTCTACAACGACCTGAAAGGAGGTTGTAGCGAGGTGGGGGTTGGTCTCTTCTCCCAAGTAACAAGTGATAGAACAAGAGGAAACAGCCTCAAGTTGTGCCACAGAAATTTAGATTGGATATTTGGAACAATTTCTTGACCGAAAGGGTTGTCAAGCATTGGAACAGACTGCCCAGGGAAGTGGTTAAATACCCTGGAGGTATTTAAAAGATGTATAGATGTAGCATTTAGGGGCATGGTTTAGTGGTGGACTTGGCAGTGTTGGGTTTATGGTTGGACTCGGTGATCTTAAAGGTCTTTTCCAAACTATGAGATTCTATGAAATCACTCAGCCTTACTGCTTACTTGCTTTTTATTGGCAAAAGCACATCTGCTGTCACTGAGAGTTTCACTAAATCATCTACAACTAATTTTTTAGCTGTTTTCTCATTTTTTTGTTTTTAATCTACATGCAATTAATTAGTATTCAGTCTAGCCTGAGGTTGAGCATCTTGATTCCCTGAATACGGATTGTCTGTCCCACCGTGATTACCTTACAATGGTTTTAGCAGGAGCTAATGAATGAAGAACAATAGCACCGAAGACAGCCCAGCATCTGTAGGTACCAAGGCTCACGAATGCCCCCTCCTCAGCGCTGGAACCCCCTGCGTCAGCTCATATGGCATCCCATGTCTGGCATCGTGAGTCATATGACAGTGGCAGACTGCAGCTTTTCTCACTTGTGTGACACTGCACAGCTGATGTCACGTAGATGGGGTGAGATGCGAGCCGCAGGCTCTCTGCATCTGACACACAGGATCCCAGAGA